CCAAGCAGAGACCAAACAGCTCCGCTACGTTCCGCCGAGCCGTTGTCCTTCCAGGAGCTGTCCAGCAACAAATCAGTAAACAAAACCCTCGAAGTCGACGGGAGCAACATCAAACTCAAGGCCACTGACAAGTCTATCTTCGTGGAAAACAACACGGAGTTCTTGCTGTACCAGGCCATGAGACGAAGAGGCCTGGCCCTGGAATTTGCAGATCTCATCACGTTCACAGTCCACCAGAAGTGGGTAGACTTCCTCTTTGCCGAGATGACTAAAGAGCCCGTGCGAGGATTCCAACAAGTCCAGATCTTCCAAATTCTCAGGGCCGACAAGGCAGCCTGGGTCCACATGGCAGACACGTGTACAGACATCAGACCAGGAACAGGGGCTCGACCCCTCGACGCAATCATGTCCACCCTTCCGGGCGTCCACACAGTGGTCTTCAACCTTCTGCCCTTGCATGCCCCTCCTTGGGCAAGTTATGGTGATGCTCGAAAAGGCAAGGGCAAGGACATCGGCGCCAGATGGACCAATGGCGGCAAAGGCAAGGACCAACCCGGGAGCTGGCAGCGCTGGACTCCATACGACCGCCTTGCCGGTGGTGGAGGTAAAACCAGCAAGGGCGGCAAGGGCGCTGGCAAGGGCAAGTACCAGAAAGGCTCATGGGAGCGGCGGCCTAACATGCCGCGTTTGCTCTTGGGCCTCCACTACAAGAACACGGATGGCAGACCGCTTTGTTTCGCATGGAACCTTCCTGGAGGATGCACCAAAGGCAAGGATGGAGCCTGCGACCGCGGCCTTCACCTCTGTTCCAAGTGCCTCGGAGCGCACTCGTACAACGAATGCCCGCAGAAAGGGCCCAACTGACTACCGCTGTCAGAGCGAGTTGAGCCCGCTTCCCCTACCACAGAGGCCAGACGTTTACACACATTTTTCGGGCTTGAGATCTTCGCTGGCTCTGCCGGCCTGACGGCAGCCCTCAAGAATTGCGGCCTCAGAGGAAGCTTCGGCATTGATTCTGTTTTGTACAAGGTTAGACTAGGGCCGGTAATCAAACTTGATTTACTTCAGCCCGGCGCTCAGAAGTTACTTTTCTCCATTTTCGAGAGTGAACGCTTACTTTTTGTCTGGCTGTCGCCCCCTAACGGCAACGCCCCAGAAACCCTGGCGATCAAGAATCCTCATGTCGAGGGAAACTCCCCAGAAGAAAATGTCGAGCTCGGCCTCAAGGACCCCGGCGCCGGCGACTCAGACCAGGAAGGCAAGATCACGCATCTTCAGGATCTTTCCTGCGCAATATGCGCGTACCTCAGCCAAGCTGGAAAACCCTGGTCGGTCGCATGCTCCTCCGCCAGCAACCTCTGGTCGACACAAGCATGGCAGGCGGTCGTTGAGCTATGTCAGCCCACCTACAGCTGCTTCCAGTCCTGCATGTATGGGGGATCCAGACCGAAACGCATGACGCTGGCTTTCGCGAACATGCCCGAGCTCTCCTACATCAATTTGCTATGCGATGGCTCCCATGAACATGACGCAGGAGGCCGGGGCCGTAGTGCCCCCAAAGCATCAAGCGTCTGTGATAGCCTGTACCCCAGAAAACTGTGCGCTGCAGTAGCGACCGCGGTGCATGCCAACTGCATCGCGAGGGGCATCCAGGATATACCCTCCGATCTCCAGTCTGTTCCGGGAGACATTGCCATGGATGAGGTTGCCGCCCGAGCTATGGCAGGGTCGTCGGCGGCCCAGAGACAGCTGCCCGGGCTCATGCCAGAATACCGGGTCAAGCTCACAGTCACCTTGCGCCTATCAGACATCACTTGGCAGGTCAAGGACAGAACTCAGCATTTCCTCCGAGTAGGTGATGTTTTGATTCCCCCGAACTCCCGCCTCCTGGCGATCATTCCAACAACAGATGGGGATGTGGATGCTCGCCAGTGTACTTTCGGGGTTCCATGGAAACCCCACGAGTTCGTTCAAGAAGCTGCCCTACGAGGCTTCCCGAACAACTTTGCTGAGGTTGTGCCCAACGAGCTCGACGAGGCTATCCTAAACCTGGCAACCCAGCCTCACCATGTTATAGCCAAGAGAAGAAGTGACTTCTTCAGAAGATGGTTATCCAGAGCGGCCGACCTACACTCGCAGGAAGAACAGCTTAAGGCTTCCTTTGACCAGCCCTTTGCGAGTGTAGTCCGCCCCAAAAGGATTCTCCTCTTTGAAGAGATGGTACGAGAGTACTCTCTCGCAAACAAGGATGTTGCTTCGATTCTCAAGCAGGGAGTCGACCTAGCAGGGAAGATCCCCCTGTCCCATGACCTTCCCAAGTCCTTTTCTCCCCCACATCTCAGCCTCGACGAGCTTGAAGAGCTCACTCCTCTGATCCGAGAGGCTGCGATAACCCGTGCAGAGGGAACCAAAGATCTTGTCGAAGAGACTTGGGGCAAGACGTTGATTGAAGCTGAGAAAGGGTGGCTATCTGGCCCCTTCGACCCAGGGTCACCTGAGGCCGCCGGGCTGCTTTCCAACCGCTTTGGGGTTATGCAGAAAGGAAAGATAAGGTGTGTAGACGACATGTCTGCATCGCTGATAAATGCCACGACCTTTGCTGAAGAAAAGATCACCCTCCATAATGTGGATGTTATCTGTGCGGCCATCGGTCGGTGGTATCAGCTCAGACAGCAAGCAGGCCTCCCCACAAAGCTCCTAGCAAAGAGTTTCGACTTGAAGTCCGCTTACAAGCAGCTCCCAATTGCTTCTTGTGCAAGGAGACACGCTGGCTTGGCCCTCAGCGATCCCAAAGGCAGATGTAAGGTTTTCCGATCCATCTCTCTTCCTTTCGGTGCTACGCAGTCAGTCTTCTCTTTCAACAGGATGAGCAGAGCCGTGTGGGCGATTGCTGCAAAGGGGCTGTGGTTAATGTGGACCTGCTTTTACGATGATTTTCCAATCTTCTCAGAGCCAGGCCTCGAGAACAACACAGACCAAGCAGCCGAAACTTTCTTCACCCTGCTTGGATGGGCTTTCGACAAGGAAGGCGACAAGCACACCTCCTTCAGTGCGAAGCTCAGTGCCTTGGAGGTTGTCGTGAACCTCTCACCTCTCAGCACAGGCATGGTCGAGATTCAGAACACTGAAGCCCGAGTTTCAGAGCTCATCAGGGACCTTCTTCAGGTCACCCAAGACCGACAGCTCTCTCAAAGCCGAGCTAAACATCTCGCAGGGAGGATGTCTTTCGCAGGTTGCCAGGTTTTCGGAAGACTTGCCAAGTCCTGCCTCCGAGTCTTCCATGCTAGAACTTTGTCCAGGGACGGCAAGCTCGATGATGAGGCCCTTGCTGCTGTCAAAGCTTATTGTGACATTCTTAAAAAAGAGCCCCGGCACGACAAGTCTCTGCAGCGAAGAAAGAGTGCTTCTACCTCTACACTGATGCCTCCTTAGAGGAGGGAGAAAACGGCCCCTGTGCAGGATTGGGAGGAGTGCTAGTCGATCCTACAGGCTTGCCCTTACAATTCTTCTCGTGGTTCCCCGAGCAGGAAGACATGATGATGTTGGGCATTGACCTTGGGACGAAGTGCATTTTCCTTCTTGAGCTCCTTGCTGTGTGCATCGGGTTCTGGTTATGGGGCGACGTCTTCGGTGGGTCTTCTCTTGTTGCTTTCACTGACAATGAAGCAGCCAAAGCCTGTCTAGTCAAGGGAAGCTCTGCACACCCAATTGCCAACAAGCTTCTCTTTTGTCAAGCAGTGCTCGAGGTTGAGAGAATGTGCCTCCCTTGGTTTTCCAGAGTTCCCTCTCTTTCCAACATTGCCGACGGACCCTCCAGAAAAGATGGCAATGAACCTTTGCTTGAGGGAATACCCTTGATCGACTTCAACTTCGCCGAATTCCTCGTTTGCTTTAAACAGGGGGAGTGCTCAGACTTCGGCTCGTTTCAGTAAGGTGCTGAGACCAACTCAGCCACAAGGTGCCAGAGCCACAGTCGTGTTTGACCCCACTTGGACAAAAAGAAGATGTCCGAATTCTGTCTGCTTCACTGTATGTGCATGATCTCTTTTGCAGAGTGGACTTGTCCAGCGGAGTGTGTTTCAGGTAGTGTGCCTTTTTGATTTTGGGTGCATTTATTCCAAAATCTCTTGTTTTGTATTGGGTTTGCTTGAACTTGACGTAGCGGCCCGCGCATGTTCAAGCTTGCTGGCAGCATTGAAAATTTTTGTTGCCGTAGCAACTTTAGGGCGGCCTTCCTTCGGCCTCCTTTGATGCCTGTGCCAGACGCTACTGGAAGCTTTTCTTCTGGTTCGCTCGGGCATACTGATCCTTTCAGCGGAGTGGAATCCCAGTTCGCCCACGTGGAGCACAGCCTTCTGGTTCAGTCGCAAGAAGCATATCTGAGCGCGTGCGCTCCGTTGGTTTATCAAGCCCCCAAAACAGCTTTAAATTTTAAAGCGTTCTTGAAAGGCTTTTTCACGGTCGTGATAATGTGGTCCCTGTTTTTGAAAAGTCTGCAGTGATTTCATGCTCCTAAATTATGTTGACACGGAATGTTCCGAAACCGGAGCCCTGTGTATAGCATGTTTCCGACATGTTGCATTCGTGCTTTAATTTTCCATGGAAGCACATGAGCAGTTTTTATCGTATTGCTTGTTGTGAATTTTCACTGACTTGTCTGTTGAGTGACATGGTTCAAGTCGGGCTCCTGCAGAGCTCAGAGTGAAAATTTTTGTGGGCCTGTTTCTGCTTAAGCTTGTGAGACCTCCAACAGGCTCTCTTTGCAACAGGCCTTGCCACAAAGGAGTTTGCCCTTAGGGCTCGTGCAAGCTCCCGCGCGGCGGGCAGCGGATGGTCATTGCGTCCGTCCTTGCTCGAGGCCGTGCCGCCTCCCAGAGGCTCTTCCTGGTGCCTCAGGGTCCCTTTCCTTCGGGTTCTGTCTGGATTCGAGGTTTTGCTGGGGCTTCCTTTGTGGGTTCTTTTCCTTCGTGTATCTGCTGTGCATCCTGTGAGCCTCGTACATGCAAGCCGTCGCCCTTCGGTGTGACCTCGGCACTTTGTGGACGCAGCCACGCGTTGCGCAGTTGCTGTGGCACTTTCTGCACGTCACGGATCGTGTTCGAGTGCAGAGCATTACTTGGTGGATTCACGCAGATATCCGGTGGTTCATTTTTGAGCTGCAGCCTGCTTTGCCTGACAGCGACTTCAGCAGTGAGGACGAGCTCCTCCCGCGCCGTGCGGGGTAGTGCCTGCAATGTCTTCAATGGCTTCGGGAATAGGGGGTTTGGTTATCAGCAGTCATGTGCGACATGTGTGGGCCTCGTCCAGCGCCTCAGCCTTCGATTTCTTGAAGCCGGATGCACTGTTGTCAGCCTCGCCCCTACTTCAGGACCCCAATAAGAGACCCAGGCTGCTGCCCGCTCCTGTGGGGCCTCTGCCTCCTTTGCCAGTTCCTGATGAACCTCGGCCTCAGTCAACTCCTCCAGAAATCGACTATGGGGTGAATGCGTACTTGGCAGCTGGGTTGAAACCGTTGACTGCCAGGGATGAGACCTTGAAGTTGCAAGCAATCACGTATGAGCGGAAGTGCGCCCTGAAAAAGTGGTTGAGCTTAATCTCTGTGAACTTCCAGGCGTGGGAAATCGCGAGACGGGCTCTGGGCCCCTTCGAGCCCAGCTTTGCGTGCAAAGGCCTGGTAGACAGTGTCAGAGATGCTGCGGGAGTTAAGGCTTCAAGCACTTTGCATAACCGAGCCGGACCCCTGCTCCGGTACGTGAAGTTTTGGAAGGGTCGTGGACACAAGTGCTTCCCCGTGAGTGAGGGACAGGTCTACTCCTTCTTCAAGGACGGGGGAGATATGGCGCCCACCTTTCCAAGGTCCCTGATGATTTCCATCAGCTTCGCTGTGCACGTGTTTGGCTTGGTCTGGACTGATGACCCGTTGAGAAGCGGGAGGGTCAAGGGCTTGGTCGCTTCCCACTATGCGACGAAGCGCGAAGAAGTCAGGAGACCGGCTTTCACTGTGGAGCAGATCAAGTTGTTGGAGAGGATCGTCATGGACAACGGGAGGTCTTCGTATGACAGAGTCGCTGCAGGGTTCTTTCTGCTGCTCGCGTACGGTCGTTTGAGGTTCAGTGACGGGCAGAGGATTACCAGCTTCCTGTTGGATCAACCCGACCCCAACAAGCCTGAGCTGGGATATCTGGAGTGTACTGCCAAACGCACCAAGTCGCAGGTTGGCATGATCAAGAAGGCAAAGGTCCTGCCCGTGGTGATCCCGTTGGCTGCGGTGGGTCTCTGCTGGATCCCTACCTGGCTTGTCCTCCGGATGAAGGCCGGGCTGTGCTATGGAGGGTCGGTGCCGGAGACTGAGCCGATTCTCCCGGCGGTTGCGGCAGGAGGCGGCTGGACTCGAGTTCCCCTTGACGTCTCGGCGGCTAGTGATTGGTTGAGGCAGCTGCTGAGGCATACTGCGCAGGTCGGTCCCATCAAGGTGGGTACTCACAGCGCCAAGGCAACCATGCTCAGTTGGGCTGCCAAAGTCGGCATGGATGATGGGCCCAGACGCCTGTTAGTTTCACGTGAAGACCGGAGACTCCCTGATCGTGTACAGTAGAGACGCTATGTCTCATCCTATGCGGTTGCTCGTACGACTCATCCTGGACGTCAAGAACGGCAAGTTTGACCCAGACTTGACCCGCTCCGGGGCTTTGGCAAGTGAGCTGGCTGGGGAGTCGGAGTCTTCCGAGGGCTCGACGGATGAAGAGTGCAAGCAGGTGTCGGAAGAAGAGAGGGCCGTGGAAGATGTCGTCGGCGAGTGGGACCCGGGCCACGGCCCCGACGAACACTTCGCAAGGCACCTTGTCTCACGATGCATTCACAAGGTTCGGGATGAGGCTGGGTCGCAGCTGGTGTGTGGTCGCACTATCAGCACGCGCTTCGAGGTCCTGAACAAGAAACCGGCATTCATGCACCCCTTGTGCTCAGGATGTTTCAGTGTCTGAACAATTTTGGAACGCACTCGCGCAGACCTACGAAAACGTGATGGGTGAAGGGACACTTGTCTGAGTAGACATGCAGCGACATGGGTGCACATGGTACAAGAGGGCTCAGCATCACTTGGTGTCTGAGTACCACAGTGAGCGATCATGTCATGAAGGTGTGAGGGTCAGCTCGTGGATGATAAATGTGAATCTTGACGCGCGCCCTCAATGTCTTGAGATTTTGAGTGTGGTAGAGCTCTGATCCGTCATGTCGGTGGCTGACAGCAAAGCAGTCTTCAAAGCTCGGGCGGTGGCCGTGGGCCTCGAACCTGAGATCTTGACGCACCTCGCGAATGGCGAGATTGACACGTTGGCTTCGCTGGCCTTTTCTTGCAGCTACACCCCAGGTAGCTCCGATGACTCGGTCTTTGTGACGCTGATGGGAAAGCTATGCGGTAAGGATCCTGGGGTCAAGCAGCTGGCGTGCCTCCGCAGGTTGTTCGCGGAAGCGTACGCCATCGTAGCGAGTGACATCAAGACTCAGGTAGAATCTTCAGACGATGTCCCCATCAAACGTTTGGCGCCAGCCGACCGTGCTCAGAGGTTGGCCGATCAACAGACGAGGCTGGCCGGCCTCAACTTGAGGGGCCATTTGGAGCCAGGAGATGGCCTGGTAGACAGATGTGCCCATATCTATGAGACAGACCGGCTGGCTTACGTTGAGTGGGCGGCCTGTGTATCCAGAGACCATGAGGTGTTGACTGGCACCAAGAAAGACGGCATGCTGGTCCTTGATGCTCACGGCCAAGTCAAAATGTCGTCGAAGCAAGGTGCAGCTCCATGCGAGACTACCACAGAGCTCCAGGTGCGCTACTGCCTAGTGAGGCGTGGTCTGGCGTTTGAGCAAGCGAATATCCTCGATTATAAGCTGCACGACCAGTTGATCGAAAAGTACTTTGAATATCGATTGATGCCGACACCTCCCGGCTTTGCAGCTGTCGGGATGGGGCAGATCGAAGCGGCCGACCGTCGGTTCTTCATGCTTATGGCAGAGCGCACGAGGTCGGGGATCAAAGCCACCGCCGGTGGACGGCCATGTGACAAGGAGTTCAAGGCATGCATCGAGAGCAGTGAGTTCCTTTCGATGATCCAGCACAAACCTTTGGCTGCTGCTGCCAAGGAAGCCTGGACCGAGGAAGGCTCCCCGTCCAAGAAGCGCCGCTTGGGCTCAAAGGGCCGAGGCAAGGGCAAGGGCAAAGGCCGCGGTGAGCGGTCCGCAGGAGGCATTGTTCCGGCCCAGCTACTGCGCCTCGGATGTGTTGCCAGTACCTCCCGTGGGAACCCCGTGTGCTTTGACTACTCGCTCAGAAGTGCGAGCGCAAGGTCACGGGCAACAAGTGTGAGCGCGGCTTACATGTTTGCGCTGTTGCCAAATGCCATGGCAACCATCCGGCCACGGAATGCCCACGGGCATCCAAGGCGGATTGACTAGGGCACGGGAAGGAGGAGGCGGGTCATGTGCGGCCTGCAGAGCCCGAGGAAGATGCCTCGGGGGATGTGCCACGCAAGGGCGTGGCAGAGACGCCTGTGGGCGATCGCAAGTGTGCGAGTGAGGCGCCGCCTCTACCTGTACAGTCGGTTTCGTTTTCCAATGTCACAGAAGAATGCTTCGATTCCTTTTGCAAGATTTTACTTGATGACACCTCTCTGAATCCATGCGACCGCATTTTGCAGTTGCTTGAGCAGGCGCCTGTGCAAGAACCGCCCCGCGAAGGGGCCCAAGCAGGTGCGAAGAGTTTCCAAGTCGGTGTCTACAATCATGGAGGGGTTACGGGGCTTCGAGCCGCCACGCACAGATACCCTCATGCTTGTCGAATTCCGACGCCGTTCGGATGGTGTGTGCTGACCACATCTTTTCAACAGTTGCCCTGTTCCGCAACATACAGGTTGCGCCTCATGCTGACTCGCGCAACAGCCCAGTGCCAAACTTGATTGTTCCTGTCACTCTGTTTTCAGGTGGTCAACTGTTTGTCGTACATCAGGATGGACCCGACCGACATGTGTGTGATGGGAAAGAGGAGTCAGGCTTTAGCTTGGATGTCGCTGCGAAGCCCTGGCTGTTCGATGCAAAACATTGCAAACACTTCACGTTGCCATGGCAAGGGACACGGCTCGTCATGGTTGCTTTCACGGTGGGCCTCCTCCGTAACCTGTCAAGTCAAGATGCTGCCGTTGTGGCGGGTCTCGGTTTCAACTTGCCGTCATGCGACATGCCTGAACAGGGCTGTTCCAAGCCTACGAATGCGTCGTTACTTGACCTGCGACGACCCCCCGGGCCCCGACCTGATAGCGGACAGTCCCCGGCTGGCCTTCAGTCCCCCGTGACGACGGAGGAAGGGCAGCAACTCCCTGAGCTCAGGGCCCCGGAGGTCGTTGATGTATCCAAGGACACGCGCCACCCTTCAATGCCTGCGAGGGCCGATGCTGGGCAGCCCTTCCCCGAGTGCCGGGCCCCGGAGGTCGGTGGTTCGGTATCCCTGCCGGGTGATGGCCCCCTTCTTGTGGAGTTGTGCGCCGGGTCCGCAGTGCTGAGCAGCGTGGCATCCACGCGTGGATTCTCGACCCTTGCCGTTGATCATGCCTTGAACCGTCACACACCCAAAAGCAAGATCACTGTCTTGGACTTGAGCCTTCCAGCCTCGTGGAGCACGTTGGGGTACATTCTGGAGAACCGAGAAGTGGCTCTCTTGTTCGCAGCGCCCCCGTGTGGGACTTGCTCCGCAGCGCGGGAAATCCCGCTGGAAGACGGGTCGATGGGCCCACCTGTGTTGCGCACGCATGAGTTTCCCTATGGAGTGCCGGGCTTATCCCCGCATAACCGGCTCAAAGTTGAGAAAGCCAATGCCCTGTATGAGTGCTTGGCAAACTTCCTGCTGCTGGCGCATAAGCGCCGTATCCCTTGGATGGTGGAGAATCCCACCGGCAGCCTCCTGTGGATCTTGCCTTGTTTTGCAGAGCTTGTCAAACTCGGACGGTTTTCACACTGCGAGTCATGTGCGTTTGGGGGCCAGCGTTTAAAACGTACCAGCTTCTTGGGCAGCGATCGATGGCCTGGATTGTGTTTGAGATGTCCGGGGGATCATGATCATGAACCGTGGGGTCAGTCTGCGGATGGGTCCTTTGCCACGGCCCTCGAAGCTGAGTACCCTTCGAAGCTGTGTCATGCTGTTTGTGATTTTGCTGAACACGTGTGCCGTGAGAGGGCGCTTCCCCTAGGTTCTGCTGCTCCCCTGGTGCCGAGGGCCTATCGTCAACCCCGGGGCCGGCTGCATCCGCAGGTCATCCCCGAGTACCAGCATACCGTCTCCACCATTTTGCCTGCGTCGCCGTCTCTCGACGACAAGCAATGCCTGCGTACTGCTTTGCAAACGCCCAGAGGTCTCCTACCCGCTGGGAGCAAGCTTCTGCGTTCCGAGAATAGGGGAGGTGGTAAGTGGTTCTGTGTCTTTGGTGTGTTTTGGGATCCCTTGTCCTTTGTAGAAGAGGCGAGGAGGCTTTGGCACCCTTTCGACTCGCTGGCCCACCTGCCAGACTACTTGATCACCGCCCTTCATGAGCAGCTTTCCTTGTCACCAATGGACTTGACTAAGTTGAGGCTGACACGTTTGAAGCATTGGCAGGATCTGGCAAAGTCGCTGCGTCAAAAGGATGCGACTATGAAAGAGCAGCTGCATCCGGACGTGCAAGGCATACTGAAAGGGAAACATCTGGCCTTGTTGGCGCATCTTGTCGACGAGGTCCAATGGCCGGACGCGCATTTGTTGCCTGAGCTGTGCCAGGGTTTCCGACTCGTAGGCCCTGCCAATAAGTCGGGTGTGTTCAGGGCTGGCTTGGTAGTTGCTTCGCAGGATGAGTGCCAACTCATGCGCAGAGCGCCAGAGATTAGGGAAGGCATTCTGAAGCGGCTGGAGTCAGAACCAATGGCTGAGTACGCTCAAGAGCTGTGCGACATCACTCGTGAGGAGGCCGACGTTAAAGGGTGGCTGGAGGGCCCCTTCTCCCCTGACGAAGTCAGTGATCGCCTAGGAGAATGGCTCCCTGTGCGGAGGTTTGCTGTGCGCCAGGGGGCGAAACTGCGCCCCATCGACGACCTGCGTGAGAATGAGGTCAACTCCTGCTTCTCGAGTGTTGAGAAGGTCACCTTGTCTGCCATGGACCATGTGCTGTGGTCGGCTAACATCTTGGTTGCATACTTCCGGGATAGGGGTGCCTACCGCTTTACTTTGTCCACAGGCCAGGTGCTGTCAGGTAAGGTTCATCACGCTTGGTCTGACGCCGGGGCCGAGTTGCGCATGTCGTCTCTTGACCTAAAATCAGCGTATAAGCAACTCCCCTTGTCTCCGCTCGATCACAACAAGTCCGTCGTGTGCCTCCGGAACCCTCGGAGTATGGCTTTGGAGTGCTACATCATGAAGACGCTCCCCTTTGGGGGAGCGGCGAGCGTCCCGTCCTTCTTGCGATGCAGTTCCCTTATCCACGCCTTGGGGTGCCGATTGGGGCTTTGCTGGTCGAACTACTTCGACGACTTCCCGGTGATATCGCACTCCCTGTGCGCGTCATCGACCATGGCCTGCATGGTGGGTTTTCTAAAGTTGTTGGGGTTCGATCACGCTAAGGAAAAACTACTCCCCTTTGATGTGAAGGCGGAAGTTCTCGGCGTCCAGGTAGACTTGACTGGGGCTCCTAAAGGGGTAATCCAGGTTAAGAATAAGGATAGCCGGGTTGCTGAGTTGTTGCCAGTGCTTGAGGCGGCGTGCCGCGACAAGAAAGTCATCCCGGCCCACCTGCCATCTTTCGTCGGCAAACTTCAGTATGCCGACGCTCAGATTTGGGGGAGAGCGGGGCGTTTGGCGTTGCATGATGTTAGAGCTTTGGCGCATACCGCCAAAGTACCTGTGAGCCTGGACCCCAGTGGTCTAGCGGCTTTGAACCTTCTGAAGGAACGCTTCATGCGGGGTAGGCCTCGCACCTTACTTGCCTCCCGAGGGGAACTCCCGTTCCTCATGTTCACTGATGGCGCTCTTGAAGAGGGGCAAGCCAAGCTTGGTCTCCCGCCTGCCACCATAGGAGGCTTGCTCTTGTGGCCCGGGCGTAGTCAGCGGGCTGAGTATTTTGGATGTGCTGTTCCTGAGACAGTGCTGGAAATGTGGCGCGCGGATGGGAAGTCACATGTCATCGGCCTAGTGGAGCTCTATGCCGTCGTGGTGGGCATCCGCACCTGGAAGTCGTACTTCGAGGGAAGGAGGTTGCTAACGTTCGTCGACAACTATGCTGCGCTCGATGTTGCTATCAAGGGATCCGCGTCTGTCAAGCAGTGGCGCGATTTGTTGTTGCTACTTGAGTGCCCCGATGAAACGTCCCCCACGCTCATGTGGCATGCAAGTGCTGCAAGGGTACCTTCGAAGTCGAACCCGTCGGATGGGCCCAGCCGGGGTGACACGTCCCTGATGGAATCCTTCCACGCCAAGCGTGTCACGCCTGTATGTCCCGTGACACAGGTGCAGCTGCGGAACTTGTAACCAGCTAGATGTGTGCTGAAGCAGACCGGGGAACTTGACCAAATGTGGTCGACGGGATGTGCCCGCGATGTGCAATGTGCACGTAGTGTTCAACTTGATATGCATCCCAGTTTGCCAAGAGAGGAAAAGAGCGCCGCTGATTGTGAGACCTATTTTGTCAGTGGAATGAATCATGCATGTATAATTGCGATTGATGCTTTCAAGAATTTTGGGGATATTTGATAAGCATATCTGAGCGCGTGCGCTCCGTTGGTTTATCAAGCCCCCAAAACAGCTTTAAATTTTAAAGCGTTCTTGAAAGGCTTTTTCACGGTCGTGATAATGTGGTCCCTGTTTTTGAAAAGTCTGCAGTGATTTCATGCTCCTAAATTATGTTGACACGGAATGTTCCGAAACCGGAGCCCTGTGTATAGCATGTTTCCGACATGTTGCATTCGTGCTTTAATTTTCCATGGAAGCACATGAGCAGTTTTTATCGTATTGCTTGTTGTGAATTTTCACTGACTTGTCTGTTGAGTGACATGGTTCAAGTCGGGCTCCTGCAGAGCTCAGAGTGAAAATTTTTCCCACCCACCCAACCCTAGGGGGGAACTTGACCAAATGTGGTCGACGGGATGTGCCCGCGATGTGCAATGTGCACGTAGTGTTCAACTTGATATGCATCCCCAGTTTGCCAAGAGAGGAAAAGAGCGCCGCTGATTGTGAGACCTATTTTGTCAGTGGAATGAATCATGCATGTATAATTGCGATTGATGCTTTCAAGAATTTTGGGGATATTTGATAAGTCCAAGACCTCGTGCTGCACGTGGCTCGGCTGACTGCTCGTGTGGACGCGCTGGAGGCTCAGCAGGCCTTGCTTCTGTCTCGTCTTGCGGACACTGAGCAAGACGTGGAGCTTGCTTCTACGAGACTTGCTGTGCTCAACCACTTTCTGCATTCCCTCGCGGCGCGTGTTCACGCTCTCCTCCAAGGAGTTCTTCGGGCTCTGCCTCGGGGATTCTGAGATGGCAGCTTCCAGCTCTTCACAGTCGACTGGGGGGGGACAGGACGCTGCTTCGAGCTGGTCTGATCTTCCCAAGAAGGTTAGGTTTGCTTTTTCAGCTGCTGGCGATCCTCCTCCGGACCATGTTCTGGCTTCTCTATTTTCCACTGCTGTTGATCTTAACCTTTTGATCGAAACGTGGGGCTTTACGATGGGCTCTCCTGAGTGGCTGTTGGTCCATGATATTCTCTCGAAGTATCAACAAGATGCAAACGCTGGTGCTGCAAGGACGTGGAAACGCAGGGCACTGGCTGGGGTGGCTTTTCATGGGACTTTGGAGAAGCCATGCAGCGAGAAGTTGCCTTCTTTGGCTCCTACGAAGGAATGGCTGTTGGAGAAGTCTGGGGCAAAGCGACGACTGTTGCGATGGCCTAATCGTAGGTCCAAAAAGCTGGCCTTAGCGACTACCGATTTAACGAGAGCGAAAGCTGAAGCAGATGAGCTCACTCGGTGGCGAATGCGACTGGTCAAGGTGCTCAAGGATTGTCGTATGCCGGTTTGCAATCAGGCCCTTTTTGCTGCAGATCCGGACAGGGTATTGCAATCTACTGCTGGTTGTGTTCGGGCTTCCACTCTGCGTTCGAGGATTAGGGAGTGGTGCAAGTTTTCGCTCTGGTGCCTGGCACTTCATGACGAGCATTTCCCTGCACACATGGGGGTTCTCGTTGATTACATTGAAGAGCTACGCGATGAGCCTTGCAGCAGAACCAGGCTACGTTCAGTGCTCTCAGCGGTTGCCTTCATCGAGAAGGCAGGTGGCATCGACAAGGCTGATCATTTTTCCAATCATCACTTGGTCTTGAATCTCGTCAATGTCAGGACTGCTGAACTTGAGGTTGATGCTCCAGCGGTTCGGAGAGCAGTTCCTTGCCCACTCCTGCTCGTGATTGCGTGGGAGCTGGCGGTGTGCGATGAAGAATTTCCAAAGTACATGCGGGCATTTGCGTGGACTAGACTTTTCAAGTTTTGGTCTTCGAGCAGGAGCGGCGACTTGGAAGGAGCTTCTTTCGATGACATGATCATGACAGCGGAAGGTCTTCGTGGTTTCTTCGATAGGACCAAAACTAGCGGTGCAGGCAAGAAGAATCGTTTTCTGCCTTTCTTCATCGCTGCGGACGCATGGCTGGCACGCAAGAATTGGCTCGCTGTGGGTTTTGCGATTTGGAAGGGTCCTGAGTTCGGTTTCGAAAGGGACTACATGATTCCCAGGCCCACGAGACATTTTAATGCATGCAAAGCGGTCATGGCCAGCTACAGTGATGTGTGCTCGCTCGCCGAGCGTCTTCTCAGACTGTTGCGGAAGCCTGTGCTGCGATCTGATGACTGGGTGTCTTCGGAGGAGTTCTTGATCTCTTCTGATTCGCTTCTTCGGGTCTTTTCTGAACACTCTGAGAGGGCTTCTATGGCTACATTGGCGACTTGGGCTGGAGTTGATCGTGAGCGCAAGGAGTATCTTGGACGTTGGAAGATCGTTGAGTCTTCCGATGTCTATGTGAGGTCTGCTTGGTTTGTTGTTACGACTTTGCAGCGGTTTCTTGTGCGGTCTTGTACAAGCACGAAAGAGTTACTGAGCTTGGGCATTGGTGAGATACAGGAGAGGTTGAAGTCATTCGGCTTGGAGGATGCACTTGCACTGGCTGGGGCAGAGCAACTACAGATGCCACGTGAGTGGGCATTATGGAGGGGCCGCGCCTTTCTCGGTCAGCAACCCATCGACTTGCAACGCCTTTCGACTCCTGAGGTCTTACAGGAACGAGGCCCCGAGCGTGAGTCCCGCTTTTTCATTTCAGTGCTAGGGAAACGGAAGCTTCGCAGGTTGCACCGATCCGGGGCATGTTGCACTAGGCCCGAACGTGTAGCCTGTTGTGAGTTTTATGACGTGCTTGAGGGTGTGCCGTATGATGTGGAATGCAAGCATTGTTTTCGACCGGAGCGTCGGGAACAGGAGGCTCTTCAGGAAGAGGAGTCTGATGCTGATGAGGATAGCTCCTCTAGTTCTTCTTCCGAGAAAGAATCTAGCTCGGAGGGGAGCTGAGCATGATGTGTGCGAACACTTCAGCGTGCTGCAGAGAAATTTCAATACGGCTTCGTGCCTTCTTCATGTGGATCGTTTCATTCCTGGGCTTGTGATCTGCAGTTGGTTCATGCTGGAACGTGACGTGTCAGGGCATGAGCGTGTCCTGTACGTTCTGAACGGTTCCCGCGGCTCCCGGTCGCGCCAGAGTTCTGGTGCAGGGATTGGGCGAGATGGGCCAGTTGGGTCTGTCTCAGAACCTTTTGTTCAAGGCTTTGATAGTTCAAGCATGGGAGCTTTGACAGCGGATCAGAAGAGGCATCTTGCAACCTTGAGCACCGATCTGCGTTTCCAGCTGGCCCAGGCTGAGGTCACGCCTGTTAATCAGGCACGTTTGGGTGAGCTTGGCATCCGAACTTTGGTTCTATTTGCAGGTCTGGATGAATCTCGCGAGCGAGTCCGCGCGGCGCTCGCAAGTGAGCTCCCTCTTGACGTGCAAGCTTCTCTGGCCAACCGTCTCGAAATGGCACGTCTGATTTCAGCCTGGGAGGCCTCGAAATTGCATCTCGAGGTGAATGAGAAGAACAGAGCCGAGTCACGTCTTGGAACTCAAAATCGATTGGTTCAGCCGAGTGAACAACATTCCATGCGCGTGGCGGTGGAGGCTGTCCTGGGTTCTTTGAAAGACAAGGAAGTTCCTTCGCGATCGTTCTTGGCGACCAAGCTTGAACAGATCGAGGCCAATCAACCGGCGGTGGAGTGTCTCACTGAGGTGGCCTCGTTGGAGGATTCCGAGCTTGAAATGTATTCAGCGGTGATCGACCCTGCTACAAACGTCTTGAAGATCAAAACTGGCAAGACGTTGACTTCAACCCCGCAGTCCCCCGAGGAGTTGCGTCTTCGTCACCGCAGGATCGGTCTCGCCTGGGACATGCTCGCGACTAAACATTCCAATCGCAATTGGCTTTCAAAGAACATGACTGACACTTTCAGGCGCTTCAGCGATTATGTTCTGGGCCAGCAGGTCGCCGGCCTTATGGCAGGTGATGGTCGACGCCCTACTTGGAACTTGGTTTTGCAGTTTGAGCATGAAGCCCGCAAGGCCGCCTACAAGTGGTTGCGGGACGGCGAAGTCACGGACCTGGAGGCGGCTTTCAAGAGGGCTACTACGGATACGGAAGTCTTGCAGCGTTACTTGGTGATTCCCTTCTCCTTGAATATCACGGCTGCCTCGGTTGTGCAAGTGGACGTTCCTTCTCCTTCGGCTGCTGGTTCGCCTCCTCGTGCACGGGGGCGAGGCCGAGGGCGTGGCCGTAGTGGGGTCAGGACTCAGCCTAAGGATTCACAGCAGACCAAGGGCAAAGCTCTTCGCACTCCGGATGGCCAGCCTCTTTGCTGGCGGTACAATCGCCAGGGTGGGTGCAATGATGCTAATTGTCGCTTTGTCCATGCCTGCCAGAGGTGCTTTGGAAAACACGGGTATTATCAATGCAGTCAGGTCAAGCGCGATACCGTTTCCCGCTGACTTTCGGCCGACACTTCGGCCAACGCACGAGGGCGTGCTGATCTCAGTGTGCTCTACCTCTTTGCTGGTGAACCACGCAAAGGGGATATTCGCAGCTGGTTGGAAAAATTTGCTTGGCTTTCTTGAGGACGGCACTTTTGCGACTGCACCTACAGCTGCTTATCCTTCCGGCCTGTGCCGGGCTCTGGCGTTGCTGGCTTGGCAAGTGGTTGATCCTTCCAGGTCCTCGGTGGGGGGGTCTTCTCTTCGGTCCCTGGATACCACGGAGAATGCTAACACTGGCGCTTTCTTGTCTGATGTTGAAAAAGCAGCTGCTTCACTGTTGATTCCCACCAGGGGAGAGATCGTACAACTCTTCGAGCTCCTTCCGGGAGATCCCCCGGCGAGGGGCGAGCCTGGCCCTGACTCGAAGTCCTTCA